GTAGTATATGTTAGACGTGTCACTGAGACGAACCAAGAGGACAGTCCCACGGATCTAGCCATTGCCAAGCTGCTGGAAGAGTTTAAAGATCTCTCAGAGCCGCCGACAGGAGTTGTGCCGCGGCCGATCCAGCAAAGGATAGAGATAGAGCCTAGCAGTAGAACTCCTAAGGGGGCAGTCTACAGGATGTCCCGTAGAGAGTTAGAGGAGCTGCGCAAGCAGTTGGACGAACTCCTTGAGAAAGGTTGGATTAGGCCCAGTTCGTCTCCTTTTGGAGCACCAGTTCTGTTTGTCCCCAAGAAGGAAGGAGCGTTGATTATGTGTATAGACTATAGGGGTCTGAATGCTATCACGGTCAAGAATGTTGAACCACTGCCCAGGATAGACGATCTCTTAGATCGGGTGCAGGGTTGCAAGTATTTCTCAAAGATAGATTTGAAGTCCGATTATCATCAGATAGAAGTCCATCCTGATGACCAGTACAAGACTGCGTTCCAGACTCATTATGGGCATTATGAGCTCATAGTTATGCCCTTTGGACTGACCAATGCGCCAGCAACATTTCAGCGATGTATGAATGATCTATTTAGGCCTTGGTTAGATAGGTTCGTCGTAGTATATTTAGACGACATCCTAGTCTTCAGTAAGACCCTCCAGGAGCACCGGGGTCATTTGAGGCAGGTCTTGGAGAAGCTGAGGGAGGCTAACTTCAAGATCAACGCAAAGAAGTGTGAGTGGGCCGAGACACAAGTTCTGTACTTGGGCCACGTATTAGACGGAGATGGCATCAAGCCTGAGGATAATAAGATAGCGGCGATTAGAGATTGGCCGACGCCCCGCACATTGACTGAGTTGCGGTCGTTCCTAGGTCTGGCTAACTATTATAGGAAGTCTATGAGGAACTTCTCGACTATCGCCGCTCCCTTGCGCAGGTTGCTCAAGAAAGAGGCAATCTGGCAATGGGATAAAGATTGTACGTCTGCGCTAAAGAAATTAAAGCGCGCATTGATAAAGTATCCTGTCCTCAAGGTAGCAGATCCGTCTTTGCCATTTGTCGTCACCACGGACGCGAGTCAGTATGGAATAGGCGCCGTGTTGCAGCAGGACTACGTCGAGGTAGAACTCTACGCTCTCAGGCAGGCTTTAGAGCATTGGAAGCATTACCTGCTTGGGAGGGACTTCAAAGTGTACTCCGACCACGAGACTCTTAGATGGTTGAAGACACAGGCCAAAATGACACCTAAGTTGACTAGGTGGGCCACTAAGATAGACCAATATGACTTTGAGCTCAAGCCAGTGAAGGGCAAGTACAATGTAGTTGCGGATGCTCTGAGTAGGAGATCATACTACTTTGGAGCTATAGTTCACTATCTGGACATAGGGAGTGAGTGACCTGCAAGAGAAAGTTAGACAGGCGTATGCACAGGACCCCATCTATAGTGACCTCCTCAAGAAAGTTAAGGAGGCCCCAGAGACCGAGCCAGATTATCGCATTGTAGAGGGGTTATTATTTGAGAAGACTAACGTAGTAGACCGCCTATGCGTTCCCAACAGTGAGGAGATCCGCAGTCTTATCCTAGGGGAATGCCATGATACAGAGGGACACTTTGGTTGGGAAAAGACTTTAGCCAATCTGATGCACGCGTACACATGGCCAGGAATGAAGAACGACTGCATAGAGTATGTCCGCAGTTGTAAAGTCTGTTAGAGGAACAAAAGCACTACGGGTGCCCCTCTAAGTCGTCTCAGACCCTTGCCTATTCCAGACCGACCTGGAGATTCAGTCTCCATTGACTTCATGGATGCCGGTGTCAAGAGTAGGTACGACAAGAGCCAAGTCATGGTTGTAGTTGATAGATTTAGCAAGTATGTTATTTTTGTTTCGTTGCCTGCAGAGGCACGCACAGAGTTAGTGATACAGAAGTTCTTTGATTTTTGGGTTAGTGTGCATTGAGTCCCGTTGTCCATAGTTAGCGATAGAGATAGTTGCTTAACCAGCCAGAACTGGCAGGAACTTATGAGAGTCTATGGGTCAAAGTTGCTGATGTCGTCTGGCCGCCATCCAGAGACTAATGGTCAGACCGAGCAGATGAACAAGATCCTGCAGCAAGTTATGTGCATGTACATTAGACCCGATCAGATCAACTGGGACGAGATGTTACCCAAGGTAGCCAGTGCATACAATAACAGCRTRCATTTGTCCACCTGTCGCACTCCCAACGAGTTGCATAAGTCCTTTAGACCACGTCGACCGTTTGAGGGACTTAACCGGGATCAGATTCACAGGCTACCGCCCGGTAACAGGGAGTTCGCGATACAGCATGAGAAAGAGATAGCCACTGTTGTTGAAAACCTCAGGAAGGCCCAGCACCGGATGATAGAGCAGGCTAATAAGCACCGTCGCCCATCATAGTTTCAAGTTGACCTGGTTTGGGTCAAGTCTAAAGAGTTTGCACCTGAAGAGAACATCTTGCAGAAGTTACTGCCCGCATATAGAGGACCGTGGCCAATTCTAGAAGTTAAGGGCGGAGAGGATGGGCCGTCCTACACTATAAAGATCCCAGCACACCTCCACACCTACCCTGTGTTTCACGCATCAAAATTACTGTCGTGTGTCACAAGTCAGCAGTTTCCCTCTAGACGATCCATGATCCCTCCAGACATGGACGGAAGATATGACATCGACGGCATTGTAGGTGAAGATGTATTCAGAACAGGAGGTAGAGGCCGTCCACAAAAGCAGTATAAGGTCCGGTTTGCATATCAGGAACCAGAGGATGACCGCTGGTTTACGAGAGCAGAACTTCTAGAGACGGCTCCCGATATAGTAAGAGCCTACGAGAGAGATCAGAGAGGTAAAGGTCCTGCCTTGGACTGAGTTATTCTCGGAGGACCTCGAATTTAGGCCGGCGGGAGTGAAACGGTATTCACCAATTTGCAGTAGCTGATGCAGATCCCAGGGCTTGATCCCTAGTTCCCACCTTACCTGTGTATAGTATTTGTGTCGGCCCTTAGAGTTGAACCCGTGACCTGTGTATTTGTAACAGTGGTAGACTGTCGTAGGGTCCTGAGGTCGCAGGGGTTCGATCTGTAGACCTGTCGAGTAGGAGTCTTAGTCAGGTCTAGAAGTCGTAGCTGTAGCTTTCCTGAAAGGTCAAGGTCGTAGCTGCTACAGTCCAGAAGGGTTAAAGTCGTAGCTGCTACAGTCACGAAAGGCCAAGTCTATGACCTTCCAGAAGGTCCCAGTAGTGGCCTTTCGAAGTTGCCCACGTTTAGACTGAGGCAAGTGGGCAAGTGGCGAGGCAAGTGATCAAGTGGTGGAGTCTACCCGTGCTGAGTCAGCAGTCCCAGTCCCCAGTCAGTCCTGGTCCAGTCCAGCAAGTACCGCATGGGACTGTGTGCACTTCGGGCATGGGAAAGGGCCAGACCAACGCACTGCAGAAGTATAAATCAAGAGGCAGCGCCCAGTCATTCATTCATTCCTGCGTGAGCCATGCGGAAGCGCTGCCACAGCGACTTGTGCAAGGAGGTCTGCAGTGAGCTCGAAGACGAAGTGGGCAGAGAGACGAAGTGGGCAGAGAGACGAAGCTTAGCCATAGCGATAGGGTAGAGGCGGCCATAGCCGCCATAGTTGTAGTTAGAGTTCAGTGTGTGAGTGTGCGAGAGTGAACTGAGTGTCGCGTGTGGGATATCCAGGGTGATCCAGTGTATGCGAATAGGATGTTGTGTGGGCGTCGTGTCACCATAGCCATTTGAAGTGAACTCGTATCTGGGTTGCCATATCTCTGAGTACTGAGTGGGCGCATGTCGCCAGTTGCTGCGCTACTGTTTGCATACATGTAAAGTGTGAATGAAAGTGAGTCTGATTGCACAAACAAGAATTAACAATAATAGTGTTGAATGGCTGAACAAGAATCAATGTCCGAATCCCTCCTCTACTGCAGGTATCACATGAGGTACACCATAGCCATGGCCACCCTTCTTCCTCCTTCCTCCAAGGCCGAGGCTATGGCGGACTACCAGGGCATCACCCTGCTGCGCAAAGGACAACTCAAAGCAGCTATGGCTGCTCTAGCTCAGGCCGCCATGCCTGACTCTGCCTCAAAGCTTCTTGGTGTATCTCTACCCCAACTGGCGCCTTCCTGCTGCACCGCCCACCAAGGTGATGAAGATGGCAACCACCATAGCCAGATAAGTACCTCTGGTGCTCCCCCTTCCTCGTCCTGGTCTTCTTCCTCCTCCTGCCCTTGCTCCTTCCCCAGCAGCACAGCTCTGTGCTAGCGCTGCTCCAGCCAGCGCTTCAACCAGTGTGTCACCCAACTTGCACACCGACAATGAGGAGCGCTTTGCTCCTCCTGGAGATATAGTGGCCTGATTGCCTCTTGGCGCATGACTTCCTAGGCCGCGCGGCCTCCAAGCAACCAGTACCTCCTCCCCTTTCGGAGGGAAACATCATTGCAGACTCTGATGTTGCCCGTACAGGCCCTATACTCAGACTGGTTGGACTGGTACCCGCCTGGACCTAGCCTACAACTACTGGGCCTCTAAAAATGCCAACTTTTGTCTTCTTCTGCTCAGCCTCGAGTACCCGGCACATCGACCTCTACTTGGTGTGGTACCGGCCTACCTGATACTTGAGTGTTTTCCGCTGCTCTAAGTGTCACGGGCCTCTTTCTCTGGCACTTGCAGACACACACTAAAGCCGACAAGCACTCAGACAGGCATGCAGACCAGCAAGCGCGCACACACACACACAGACTTAGAAAACTCAGCAACAGGTGGGAAACTCAGCAAGGCATACATTCCATGAGCAAAACTCAGAAATCAGCTGTGTGTCTCAGTCTGTGTTTGGCAGGTCATTAGACTTTCAAAGATGGAACATGTACCTGCCTCAGCATGTGTTTGCTTCATTTGTGTTCCATGCTTCGCAGTTGGAAAAGAATGATGCATCTGTTTGTGTCCGAGTTTAAGACTTGTTTGTGTGCACTGTGTTTGTCCAGGTGATTGGAGAGACACTTTTCACTATCATGGTTGTCATGGCGCTTTTCACAACATTCATAACGTCCCCTTTAGTCACGTACCTGGTAAAGTCTGGTGATGCACAAGAGATTGCTACATTTGGTGACTGTCCTGCAGATGATACGTCGGATTTGAGATTGCTCGTGTGTGCTCACGGTCTTCACAACATTCCCTCATTCGTGCATTTGTCAGATCTGTCCAAGGGGTGCAAGAAAGCGCAGTTGCATGTGTATCTTCTTCTTCTTCGTTTGGCAGAGCATCCAGAGAGATCGTCATCAGAGGCAAGCAAAGAAGGGAAGCCTGTTGGGAAGAGGAAGGAAATGGAAGGAATCGATTACGTTGGATCCTTGTTTCAGACGTACGGTAGATTAGCAAAGGTTATTGTGAAGACGGAGACTGTTATCTCGAGCACGAGCAAGATGCATGAGGATATTTGTTCCTCTGCTTTGGATAAGAAAGCAAGCATGATCATTCTGCCCTTCCATATTAGTAGGTGCCGTGGTACCAGTGCAGAGTCTGCAGGTGCCGATCTGGCGAGGGGATTCCGTCATGTCAATCTCCAGGTACTGAGACATGCACGCTGTTCAGTCGGCGTGCTGATTCACCGTGGGCTTGGTGAATCCGCCGATATGCGCTCAAGTGAGACAACTTACAACGTTCTCCTCTTGCTCTTTGGAGGCCAAGATGACCAGAGGGCTCTTGTGTATGCAAGTCGGATGCTGGAGCTCCCCAATGTAAACCTGCGCACTGTCCGTTTCAGCTCTATGCAGCATTCACAATGGCACTCTGGTTCCCACTGGCCTTGGGGCAGAGGTGATGGTCCCCATCCTCGCAAGGCATTGGAGAAAGAGAAGGAGATTGCTGTGGAGGAAAGGAGGAGAAGTGTTGCTGAAGAGATGGCAGTGCATGACAACAGCGTATTTGAAGTGCTGAAAAATGAGATATCTTCTCTGGCTGGTAGAAAAAGCGCTCAACTGACTGTCGAAGAGGTGCAAACAGATGATGTTGTTCAGGCGGCGATTGCTGCTGCCAGTTTGGAAGATCTCGATCTCATTGTCGTAGGCCGGGGGGTGAGACCGGCACCTATTGTGGCCAGTCCTTCACGGGAGGACCATTTGAACCCGGACGATGCTGAGGAACTTGGTGTAATTGGTGGTGCACTGGTGGCGGCTGACACAGTGGTGAAGGCCTCAATTCTGGTCATCCAGCAGCACGACCCCGAATTAGATATAGTGGGAGTGTCTACGGATCATTCCTTGGCATCGGGAGAGCTGCCATCCGCCGCAGCTCAATGTGAAGAAGGTGAGGGAGACAAGCAGAGAAGGCAAGGGTGAAGACTGGAGGGACGTTGACAGCCAAGAGCGTCATAGGCAGGACTTTGCCAGCCTCCCGTGTGTCCTTCCAGCCCTTCAGTGCAAGTACACAAATGAACTCCAGCTCACTTGAAGGAGTTCAGTTATGGGTCTTGCCGCTTCATGTGAGCAAAATCGGGCCTTGCCACACTACTGAGGTGAGCCCTGGAGAGAGCTGGTGCGAAGAAAATTCTACCTCGAGTGAGCCCCGGAGCCAGCTTGTGCAAGAAAGTGCTTCTCCATGTGAGACTCAGAGGGAACTGTCACAAGGCAGTGCGCCTTGCCCGGCTACTCAGGAAACACACACACAAAAAAAAACTTTGCATCTGCCGAAGGAAAAGTGGCAGAATACATCTGTTACTAGTGGCAGATGCATATTTCCTCCTCCTGTGGCAATATGCACTCGTTTTTTTCGTATCATCATACTATCATGCGTAGTAGTATGGTGAGGCCCATTGTCAGAGGCGGAGAAAACCGGTACAAGAATGTGTGAAAAGGCAGAAGAGGAGCTTCAAAGATCGGAAAAAGAGAACATGGCATGAGCTGTTTTAGCGTCTGTCCCTTAGCTTACCCTATATCTTCCCCTTAGCTTATGTCTATCCCTTAGCCTATGTCTTCACCTTAGCTTATGTCCATCCCTTAGCCTATGTCTTCCCCTTAGCTTATGTCTGTCCCTTAGCCTATGTCCGTCCCCTTAGTTTATGTCTTCCCCGTAGCCTATGTCTGTCCCTTAGCTTAGCCTATATCTTCGCCTTAGCTGTTTTAGTGTCTGTCCCTTAGCTTAGCCTATATCTTTCCCTTAGCTTATGTCTGTCCCTTAGCTTATGTCTATCCCTTAGCCTATGTCTTCCCCTTAGCTTATGTCTGTCCCTTAGCCTATGTCCGTCCCCTTTAGTTTATGTCTTCCCCGTAGCCTATGTCTGTCCCTTAGCTTAGCCTATATCTTCCCATTAGCTTATGTCTGTCCCTAGGCTTATGTCTATCGCCTATGTCTTCCCCTTAGCTTCTGCCTGTCCCTTAGCCTATGTCCATCCCCCTTAGTTTATGTCTTCCCTCTAGCCTATGTCTGTCCCCTAGCCTACTCCCACCCTCGCCTCTTGATGTAACTGAACTGTCGTGGTTTGGTCTATGAAAATGCAGATTCGCTACCTAACGGCTCAATCTGCCAAACTACATTAGATAGGTTGAAGAGGTCTGTGTTTGGTGGCAGCAAGGACGTATCAGGAATGGACCTGATAGGGATCCCCTCATCTTTTAGGAAGATCAGAAGTAGAGGTATGTATGATGTCTGTGCTCCTCATGTGCTATTTGTATGAGACGCTGGTCCCACTCACCTGCTAGCACGTGTTGCCGCCCACCAATAAACTTGATCCGTCACGAAAAGGCAGGCCTTCAATTTTATTAATGCTGATGGCATCAGTAAGTCTGGAGGAGGCCGTGCTAAGATTTTTTGTGAAAAGGAAATCAACTTTACGGGAAAAAAGGGCAGTATAAAATTGGAATGATACAGAGAATATTGGCAAAATTGGAATGATACAGAGAATATTGGCATCGCCCCTGCGGAAGGATGTGACACATAAATTGAGAAATAGTCCAAAGTTTTGGTAGGAAGGGGAAAAAAAGGGCAGACTTTTGTTGCAGCCACCTAGTTACAAAAGAGTGTTGAGTGGGGAGGCTGAGACTCCTGATCGTAGAAATGACAAAGAGCGGTCTGAATCAGTGGCTGAACAAGTTCCTGGTGGGATCTTCCGGATGGGGCACGCATGACGATGCCTGGTTCAACAGTCCGAAGTCTTGTGTATACGCTTTCCAGGCCGCGTACATTGGAATGACGACAAGAACGCAGGACAAAAGGTGGGATGAACACCGAAGAATGACGTTGATTAAAGATGAGGGCAGGCAGCACAAGGTCTATAGATGGCTGCGAAAGAAGGGATGGCAGGAGTACGTGGCCATGCCCTTAATCGTCGGCGACAAGAATGAACCGAGTAGCTTGGAAAAGTTTTACATCAGGAGCACCTGTCCTATTCTGAACTCTAAAGGGAAGAAGCAGAGAATTAGAAAGAATAGACCAGGGCGAAGGGAAAGACGGTCGAACAGTAGGAGAGGTGCAGGTGGCCAGGATATCGCCCCTGCCGAGATATGCTGCGGAACGGAGAAGATTTTTCTGATTACGAAGGTGTTGCGTTCAATTGGTCGGTCTAAAAGAAGGACTGAGTTATCTGTCTCACAAGGAACACGGTGGTGTGAGAAATGGTCAGTCGTGAAACGCTTTTTTGGTATATGATGGAGATTGTATGTGATGGTAGGATGACTCTCCTGACATATGCCAAATACAGACGCTGTGTGAGAGGGAGTTCACGGTGGTAAGGGTGGTTGAAAACACAAATGATAGGGATAGACATTTTCTAATCACTTTGCTTCGGATACCTCCGCACCGAAAGAGGTTGTATGAGTGCAGTTTCACAATGGATCGGCTGATCGGACTATATTACGGAATTAGGGGTATCAAATAGAAAAGGTCTCGAGTGTCGAGTGGAGGCTGAGACTATGCTATGGAGGCTGAGACCACTCGAAATGTGTTTGTCTTAAAAGGACAGTGAGGTGCAAAGCCTGCATCTGGACTGGGCGTAAAGGCGGGTACATGTTTAGTGCCCTATCTGCGTCACCTCCCCCCCCCAAAAAGTAGAAAGGGTGTAGCATGCTCCGGCCTGCTCATGTCTCCTCTCCAGGGTCCGACGGTTGCAGTAGGCCTCCAGGCCACGCGGCCACTTTTGGCTGGGCGTCCTGGAGGCTGACGGCCTGTTTTTGAGGCCAGGCACGTGTGTTCCTTTTTCTTGATTCAGCATTTGTTTATTAATTTGTTTCTGTATCTATTTATTTTGTTTGCCGAGTCTTTTGTCTGGTCTCTTTTTGTCTGTTCCAGTGTGTCGTTTCGTTTTTCCCTCAGTCCGAACAGACCAGTGCCTTCTCGGACCACTGGTCCACGTTTGAGGCCGAGAGAGGCCAGGTTCAGCTTAGGGACCCTGCTGCATCAGCAGGATGGCCTGGACGTCCGGTAGGGACCCAGGCCGCCCAGTACTTCGTCCTGTCTGCATGACCACGACTTGGGCCTCAGTTCAGGACCGCCGATTGGATGGTAAATTGGACTGCCCTGACTGCAAGCCACAAGTGATCAAGCCACGCCCAGCGCTATATCTAGCTGGGCCAGTCCAGTAGTGGGCACTCAGTTCGTGAGCAGTCCTGGGCGTCATGCTGCTGGAGCAGCGCCAGACTGCATAGTACATCTGCGTTAGCATTACAGGTAGAGGTGTAGGAGGTAGAGAGGGGAGTTGAGGGCAGGTGGGCCATAGTTACAAGATGAAGAGTGACTTACCTCGGCTCCAGAGCTGGGGTATTCCTCCAGCGACCTGCATCAGCGAGACACACCTGCTCCAAGCACCAGTGCTTCATCAGGTGAGGGAGAGACAGAGGAGGTACTTCTTCTTCTCCTCTCCCTGAATCCCTGATCCAGCTACGACCTCCATAGACTCTTCTTCTTCTTCTTCTTCTTCTTCTTCTTCTTCTTCTTCTTCTTCTTCTTCTTCTTCTTTGTGTGTGTGTGTGTGTGTGTGTGTTGTGTGTTCGTGATGATGTGTGTGTGTGTGTGTGTATGTGTGTGTGTGTGTGTGTGTGTGTGTGTGTGTGTGTGTGTGTGTGTGTGTGTGTGTGTGTGTGTGTGTGTGTGTGAGAGAGAGAGAGAGAGAGAGAGAGAGAGAGAGAGAGAGAGAGAGAGAGAGAGAGAGAGAGAGAGAGAGAGAGAGAGAGAGAGAGAGAGAGAGAGAGAGAGAGAGAGAGAGATTACAGGCAGAGACTATTTTCGGGCATTGTGCCCAGGATTTGATTCGACATCTGTGGGACAGACATTGATTGGACATTTGCAGGGGAGGCTATTTTTGGATTATTACAGAGCTGCGCTCTTGTCTTCCCTCCCCTCCATCATCTTCGTCTCTCCTCCCTCTTCATCGTCTGTGGACTTCTCCCCATGTGTGTATGGCAAGGCAGGATCCTTCCTTCCGTGTATGCTCCCCGCTCTGCTACATCGCCTTATTCCATGACTGTATGGATGTACATTGCTTCTTTGATGATGTGTCGTATGTCTGAGTCCTTGTCATCATCTTGCTGGTGCTTTGGCTCCGTTGCATTGCTCTTATTGACATGGCATGCATCAAAGGGTGAAGCAAGGGGGTGCTTGATGACCTGAAGATGGTGGCTTCAAGGACATAGGACTGGCATGGTGGGCAAATGACCGTTTCTTGGTCCGTCGATTTAGGCTCCTAAGGCTTGAGATTGGTAGTGTGCAAAGGATTACTGTGCAACGTTCTTGCAGTTTCTCGACAGCAAGGGCCTCGCCACGCTGCTGTCCAAACAAAAAAAGAATGAATGCATGCTTCCCCAGAAAGTGGTAAGATGCATCCGTTGCTATTCATAGTAACAGATGCATCTTGCCATTCTCTGGGGAAAGATGCACTCGTACTTTTTTCGTTTCGACAGTGGTATGGTGAGGCCGTAAATGAGACATTTCTGTGATTTTTCTAAGTTCTGGGTCTACAATGACTGGACCAGGGTCGACCCAAGTCTACCAATGGGACCGGCAGAAGACTTCCCGGACTTCTTCCCTCCACACCCTCTGTCCTTGGAGGAAAGGCTGTACGTGGAGTTCTCATGAATGGGCCGGGACTATAGTAGGGGCTGATGCCCCTCAGCTCCCTTCTATCCCCCCAGTCCCTGTTTGAGTCAAGGAGGAGGCAGAATTACACAGCAATTCTAGTAATTTGATTGAAGTAGTCTTGTGCCTTCATTCTGTTTTGTCAGCCAAGTCTGGCAAGGGACTTGAAATTTTCAAATCTATTTGTATAAGTTGTCATAAGGGACGCTGGGCCCCGCTCCCAGCACGTGGTGGTCCCCACCAATGGACTGGAGCTTGTTCCTTAAAAAAATACAAGTGGAACCCGCCACGGCTACGCCGTGGCTCACAGCAACACTCGCTGATGGCGTCTTATGGCGTCTGCTCTGTCTGTTTCTCTCTCTCTCTCTCTCTCTCTCTCTCTCTCTCTCTC